CTCCACTGCCGCCTTTGATCTCCGCCATCCTCCCCTCTCGGTCGTGGGACAGTTGAACCTTCATTCCCCACCCATTTCTTGATGCAAGCAAGGTGGAACACTGTCCAGCAATGCGTACATGACCATACTTTGGACCTTTTTCCAATCTCGCTGGTGCACACGGGACACTCATAGAGGTTATGAGCAATGTCTTCATGGATTCTAGTCGCGATATCGTCTGCTGAAGACTTCTCGGTTATCGTGGACGAGAATGCTGCAGCAGTAGCAGCTGCCGAACACTCTCCACTAGCCTTGGATTTTCCGCCTCTCGGTGACCTTCTTCCTTTCCCTTTGCCCGAGACTGATCTAGCAACTGGAGCAACAGCAGCTCCTTGTGTGTGTAAGGATTGGCCCGGAACGAACTCAGGGACATCAGCTCGAAGCGTTTCCTGTCCACCTGATGATGGCTGTGACTGAAAAGAGTTGCAACTAGGTTGGGTCAAGCCGGTTCCAAAAACCCTTCCAGGCCCGGCAACCGACAGGTTATTGGGATTGCTGATATGGTCGCTAACAGTTGCCTCATCTGGCCGTGATTTTCGTGTGTCTCTGCGATCGCGGCCTTTTCGAGGACGATTTTTTCTTCGAAGACTTTCACGATTTGGTGGCTGCTGTTGCTGTGATTGTTGTTCCTGTGATGAGGATTGCTGCGATGAGGCTCCTTCCTGCGACTGTGTCTGGATAGTTTGAAAATCCAATTCTTGGGACTGTCCGGTCTGCTGCTGCTGCTTCGGTCGTCTATGTCTTCCTGCAACATTTCGAATCGGCTGTGCACGTCCTTCTGCCGATGACTGTCCAACAACGTCCGTTACGTTTGGCAAGTTTGCATTATCATTATCCTTCTTATGTTGTGTTCGATGTCTATGACGTTTGTTTTCACGAGGCTGCGTAGACGATGTGGCAGCTCTATCATTATCAGCGCCACTCATAACTATGACAGGCGTAACACCCAATCGGCGCAGCAATATGAACCCAAGCGATGCGCGTGACAGAGTCTGATAATTTCCTTTTCCTATCGTTTCAGCTGTGAATGCAAAAGATGCACTGCGTGTGGATGCAACGAAAGCAAACTTCTGAAATAACAAAGATGCAGAATAAAGCAGGCGAGCTAACGATCAAAAAGCAAAGCGAAGAAAGCGACACAAAGGCAGATGTGATATATATAACGAAAACCTCTTTTTATGATACAAAACCAAGTAAGAAGGAAAGGAAAATAAAAAAAAAGAAAAAAAAATTGGTCGTCAATTTCCATGATCACGATGGACGAATTGGACGGATGTCATCGATATGAATAAGTACGATTCATTTCTTGGCAGTCTAGCTTGTTTGGGTATAGCTTGCTTGCTCCTGCCATTCTCGAATGATTCCTACAAATTTCCGCAGTTGACGGACAACTGAGCCACCGCAATGTTCATAAATGGCTCTATGGAGTAGACAAGAGATGTCTTCAGCTGTGACTGTTGAGCTTCTTGCAGAGCATAATCCTCTTTCTCCGCCTTCGCTACATCTCCTGTCAGTTCGTTCCTAGAGCATTACCAAGTCGTAGCGAGCAGAGGGAAAAAAGAGGAAAAATTTAATATTCGCCCCGAGTGGGGCTCGAACCCACGACATTTCGGTATCAGCTAATACTGTAGTAAAAGCCGAACGCTCTGGCCAACTGAGCTACCGGGGCTTTCATTTTTTGTTTAAATGCGTTATTCGTAGATAACATCGGTTCTATACAATTAGCATTGCCGGTGATGGATTCCTCAGGTTGACCAACGCGAAAAGGCAATCGACGACGGAGCGACAACGTCGCGGTAGAACCTCTCGATGTTACGATTACCGCATATTGAGTAGTAAAAAGGCATATGGGACTGACCAAGAGGTCAGCATCTCGTCAGGCGACAGTCCGTATGATAAGATTATGTCGTCCTGCCAGGATACAACGCTTATGTATAATCCTCCGGGCTAAGTTGTGGAACTAGAGAGGTCTTCAGCAACCGCCAAAATACAGGTCAAGGACGCCCCTGAACGGCTATGGATGTCCTGGTGGACTGGTTACGGCCTTTTATTGAAGCTGCTTTCTGCAAGACACTATGTCTTGATCTACCGGAAGGGCGTCAATATCTACGGTATCGAAGGTTGCAGCCTACGACTAATGGTGATCTGCACGTCTTCACACTACGTGATACTAGATATCTACAGATAACAAAAGTTAGTTAATTTGCTGAGTTGAGCTGACCTGTCTCCCCGTTCCTCAATACAACATAACTCATTCACGATGCTGAGAAATATACCCGTTTCAGTGGTGTACACCAGATCCGCCTTATCATTCAGTCGTGTCTGACTCGTACACGCGGGTCGGGGCTCGGTTTTCTGAAGATGCTATACAAGCGTTTGTCGCTGAGATGCAGAAACCCTTAGCCCGAGGTACCAAAGGAGCGCTTATCGCCGCGCATGAGTTCGACTTACTTATTGATCTCTCGAAAAATGATAGGAGCAAAGCAATCATGTTCATCATCAAAGAATTCGACCTTGATGGTTGCGAAGGTGCTCGCGAATACGGCAATCCAGAAGATGTGACTAGTGTCAGCTCCATTGGGGAATTGCTTGATGAAGCGATGGCTAGAAGAAGAAGGGCGAAGGAAGAAGTGGAAGCTCCCGAAGAACGAACCATTACGTTTGACGATGTGACTGTTCCACGCGATCAAGCAATGATCTTCCTACATTCACCGGTCTGGGCTAATTGTACCGGTTCTGAATCGTTCGTGCCAAAACATATGCTACAAAGATGGGATGCGTTGGTCACAGAAATTGCTGTGAAGCAGAATTCGGAGGTACTACGCACGGACGTGCAGTCATCACTCGCTGTACCCACGTCAAGTCCGCCTCCTGAGTCTGAGGAAAAAGTATTAGGATGGTCTGATACGGAATCACAGCCTTCATCACCAGTCCCAGGTGATGGTGACCATGATGATGATGAGATTATCTACAGTGGACAGCAATTCATTTCGTCCTCCAACCTACTACCCCCTGATACCCCTTCTTCATCTGTTAATTGATATTATGCCAATACATGCTTACGCACCTCTTGTGACCGCCTTGTATTGATTGATTGATGTTCCAATATTCCAACAGCCATGTAGTTGATCGTCAAATGCATCGTTCCTTCTGTCTTCTCGTGCCTAGTCGGAGTAAAAAATAATCACGATGATCAGCCATGACATCCAGAATGTCATGCAGTAAAAAAAAGGGTCTTGCCGCGATTCGAACGCGGGGCCTCTCGCACATTGAACTCAGGGTGAACCCTAAGCGAGAATCATACCACTAGACCACAAGACCTTGTTCCTTGCTTTATGGTAATCATTGCTAAATATGAACACTTCATATCATAATTATGAAGCAACTTGCTTGACTTCATCTCTCCATGCATCACTATATCCCTTCGCATTCAAATCAAGTTGTCCCCGAGATTTGACAACGGGGTAGGTGAATGGTAATGAAGTTCTCAGGGCGACAAACCAGCTTGAGAACGGGCGTCGAGGCAGCATACCATTCTGACTATGTGCGGGGTATCACCCCGTGACAAAGCTCACCAAGGATTAATGGTCAGTGTATGCCCGGTAGCAGGCAGACGATAATCAACCAAATATATTGGTCCTTAAGCGATCAATTGATTTTTGGCCGATCCCATAAGCAGCTGCATAGTTTGATTGGACTTGGCTACACACGAATGTCGAAAGCAAGCAATTATCGTTGTCGAGCGACAGTCAAAGGAGCCTGCCCACTTAACACCCGGCAAGGATGAAAAACGGTGCACTCATTCACCTAACCATCGCTGATGCGTGCAAAACCCGGTGCTAGCATTTTGAGCCTGACTTCTGCATTATCACAGCTACACTCTCTTCCTTCAGTTCATACACTACCTACCTTCTTGCGACTACCGTCGCGGGCGCGAACTTCAGGCTTGTTCCTGCTACCTCGTCACAGGTGAGGCGCGAGACTTGTCTTTCTAGGAAAACATACGAGACATGGGAAGGTAATGCTTGTAACGCACCGGAGATCGGGATGACGGTGTGTGAGGGAATTGAGTTGATCATTGAAGGGACTAGCTTTGGGAGACTTAACAAACACTGAACGGGAATGATGTCGGGCAGGAGGGCTTTCGACTAATCATGTACATGACAAATGGCGTGGTGGGTCATGGGTAGCAGGGGCCCTGTGAAGGAGATTGAAAATCTGGGCATCAGAAATGCCCCCAAGGACTTCCTTCGCTTGCACTTATGCTACAGAAGTTTGCGCTACTCATCTTCCACGACAATTCCGCATCAAGTGTGGTTCGACCATTCGAAAACGCCCTCGTCAAATTGGAGAAGCATCCAGTGTTGTTCTCGTGGACGAACGAGTTGGCGGAACCCCTCTTGTGGTAATCGTTCCGGAATGGGCTTTGATGATCCCCCGACTTCCATATTTCACGACCAGACTTGTCTCATTGGAAGCACATTTCCCAATGGCTCTTTCAAGACTATTACTCGCCGATTCAGCTGATCAAAGTCGTTCGTTCGTTATAGCACGTCCTCTTCTTGGAAGGGGCATAATTGGTGGCACGAAGGACCAAACAACTGACAGCTGGTCGAGGGAACCTGACCTAGCAGCCAGAGCGCAACTTCTCGCGGATGCCACTGAAATGTGCCCTTGATTGTTAGGGGCGATTAGGGGGTGAGACGTTGGTCAGGGGTTTTGTGGTAGACGTCCTGC